ATATATATATATATATATATATATATATATATATATATATATATATATATACATACATACATGATGAACCACTCCATTTCAGTAGGTGGCGGTAATGCTAACCTTACGTTTTTTGCCAAGAAGAAGAACAACAACCAATCGTTATGTGAAACGTCATTCTTTAACCTTCTATTCGTTCCTAGCTGCAGTTAGTTGGCTTCAGCATTGCTGATGTGTGTGTGTCTGATCCACATAGATTTATATGTATATCTATTTCTGTATATATATTTCTGAAACACTGGGAGACTAATAGGTAAGAGCTTTAATCATCATCGAGAAGCGCTTTAAATGAGCTGCGTTGAAAAGAGGGGATCGATGCTAATGTCGGCTAGCACCGAAAAGTGAATGAAGCAGCTAGCTAGCATGTTAGCTGCACGGCTAACGTTTTCAGCTGTACAGCAGCTGAAAAATGTCATTAATAATTGAATATAGAACGATTCCACAGCTGTCTATGTAAAATAAAATGACAGCAACATGTTGCAAGACTGGTTTAAAGATATCCAAGCAATGTAAAACAAATAAAAATGCCCTAATTAGCAGGTTTTATTTGATAATGGGAGAAATAATGTCTCCTTCATCCTTGCCCTCTATGTTTAGGTTTATTTAGCTACTGGAAGCGACTGTTAGATTAAGCAGAAGTGAAGGGGACTTCTGTCTGTGCTGTTTGATCAGAGCTATCGAGCTTATTTCAATAAACCTCATTCATTCAAACGCTTTTTTAAAGGTCAGGTGGTTTGGTTTGATGTTTACTACCTGAAGGAAGCAGAGGTGGATAGTTAGTTACTGGAGTAACTTTTGTTTGTTTTTTTGATCTCTTAAGATTTACTTAAGTAGATCCGTTGAATAATTTCTTTTGAAGGTTACCTTTACCTGATGAAGTAGTTCTACTCTTAAATTGAAGTTTTGGATACTCTGAAAGTTTCTAAAGATCCTCTGTCTTGCCTGCAGATATCTACTATGGCTTCTCGAGCAGGACCCAGAGCATCAGGGACAGATGGGAGCGACTTCCAGCACAGGGAGCGTGTTGCTTCCCACTACCAGATGAGGTCAGTATAGCCAAGCCCCCCAATTCTTCTTCATCTTCATGGATTTATTTGCTGTTGGCAACAACATTTTAGTAGCATTACCGCTACTTACTGGTATGGAGTGTGATTCCTGATTGTCTGTCTGCTTATATACATTTAAATAAATTCTAAAAAAAAAAAATCCTATATATATATATATACACACACATATACATACTTGTACAGAGAGGTGTCAAGTAACAAAGTACAAATGCTTCATTACTGTACTTAAGTACACTTTTTAGCTATCTATATTTTACTCTACTCTAATATTTCTTCCTACTTCTATTCATTACTTTTTCACACAAGTATCTGTTCTTTCTATTCCTTACATTTTTTAACCGAACGTTACTCGTTCCTCTTGGCTTCGGTTTAATGTTTATATATATTTATGTCACGTTATGTGCGCCATCCAATGCAGATCATTGGCGCCATCCACATCTAGTGAAAACTAGTATAATTGGAGGAGTCATATAATGCAAACACTCACGCTATTCATTTAGTTTTTGGAGCACATACTTTCTCACTTTTACTTGAGTAAAGAGGACAAGTCGATACTTCAATTTTCTTTTTAAACTGCAGTATCTATACTTCTACTTAAGTAACAAAAGTGTGTACTTTTGACACCGCTGCCTATACATAACTTTGTTCTACCCATCTATATCATACACATATTCATATAAACACATTCTATAATCAAATTCTATGAAATAATTTAGTTTTCTTTAAAAATCTAATAACTATCTGTGTATGTTTACTCCCCAAATTCTTCCTCAAAATATCTAATAAATTAACCTTTTCCTTAATACATTTAAACTCTTTCCTCATATATCTGCTGTTTCATATTTCTGACATTCTAGAATAACACGTTCTTTTATGTTGTTTCATATTTTTCACAGTAACCACATTTACCAGTAGAATGCTTTTGAATAAAAAAATATAATTAAGTCCTGTTTGCCCAAATCTTAACCGTGTTCTCATGCTCTCCTCCTTTCTATTTTCTTTCATTTCTTCTTTTTTCCTACTATTTTCTGATCACCTTCACTCCTTGTTCTTTGTGTTATAATGTGTGACTCATAATAAAGAGACCCATCCTAGCTAATTTTGTAACTCTGCATCTCTTCTGCTGACAGGATGATGTAGGCTTCATGCTCCACCTAGTGGTCAGAATCATGTAGAACCAAAGTATTTAAAATGCTCAAACTTATGTGTTTCATAAAGTTTTCAATCTTTAAAAGTTAAGATGAATTATTTGCTTCCTTTTACCCTGAAGTCCTCAAATAGAATCCATGTCACTCAGTTTGTGCCATTAAAAAAAAATAAAGATAAATTCTATGTTTGGGTAGATGAAGCTAAATAATAGAAAGGATTCAGTTGGTGACTGATTTTTTTTTTTCTTTTGGATTTAGTGTTGCTTTAAAGTCTGAAATCCGTAAACTCAACATAGTTCATCTGCTGATCTGGATCCTGATGGCTGCTCAGGTCAGAAAGCTTTTTTTTCCTCCTATTTTATAGCCAGCATAGATTTTCATTGTTTCCTGCTGTCTCCAGGTAACCGTCAGCCAGCTGAGTCTGGTATCCCACAAGGTGGTGGCCTCTCCGTACCAGTGGGAGTACCCCTATCTGCTGAGCATAGTCCCCACCGTCTTCAGCTTCCTGGCGTTGCCCCGTAACAACATCAGCTACCTGGTAATCTCCATGATCAGCAGCGGCCTCTTCTGCGTAGCGCCGCTAATCTACGGCGGTATGGAGATGTTCCCCATGGCTCAGCAGCTGTATAGGCATGGAAAGGCATACCGCTTCATTTTCGGCTTCTCTGCCGTGTCTGTGATGTACTTGGTGGTCATCATTGCTGTGCAGGTGCACGGCTGGCAGATCTACTACAGCAAGAAGCTCTTGGACCAGTGGTTCACCTCCACACAGGAGAAGAAGAAGAAATAACTTCTCCGGTTTAGAGACTTATGGATGCTCTCCCCTGGCATCGTTTTCTATATTTATATTAACAGCAATGATTTCATTGTTCTTATCGAATCAATGATTGGACGGTTTGTGATTACTGCTTTCCTCTCCAGAAACCGTTTTTTCCCAACATGCCAAATGTTAAATATGACTGTTTCCATTTCAGCCTCATGTTTTTCAATGTACACAATAAAACTTGAAACAACAAAGGGACTTTATTTCTTAACTTTGATTTAACAACAACAGTCACAGAAAAAACACCTTAACTTCACAACATAATTAAAATATATTCAGCGATTTCCTCGAAACAAAATAAAACCTGGTTTTAGTTTGTGAAAACTGAAATCGGTTATTTTTAGTCTTAAAAAACAAAAGCATACACTGCTAAAAACAAAATATATATTCTACCACCAATACCACAAACCTGTAAATAATTAATCACAGCAAATCTCAACATTTTAAACAATATTAGGTAAAGGGTCTATTTCAAGAAGTGAGTTAATTTAGTTGCCTTAACCTAAACAAATGCTCAAAAAGCATAATATCTGATAGTGGCTGAACAGGAATTTATTTAATGGATGAAAAAAATGAGAAATAGAAAGTGGAACAGAAGGTGATGCATAGTTACAGTAGAGGCACCAAGTTAATCTTTTCAAATATGAAAGTCATTTAGAATAAAAAGTGGACTCTGAAGCAGAAAGGTATTTAAATATGTGGGACTTTATCTTAGCGCTAAGCATGAGCTCAGAATCCCAACAAAAATGTTTTCTGTTCTTTCCTGTAAAGATAACTGATCTGAATGCAAGTTGTTTGATTTTTTTTCTTTTCCCGCATGCTTCTAGTCCTAAATTAAGTTTTAGACAATAAGAGATTAACTTAAAATATCCCATTTTATATTATAGACCCCAAAATTGTCACAAAAAAAAAGAAGAAAAAAAAAGGTAACATTACATGGTAACGAACACATCTCAATGTTTCACTGAAACAACGATCATCTGCCTTATTTGGGCAAATATCTAATATTAACCGGACTGTCTGACTGACAGTGTTCTGGAGTTTATTTTTTAGACCTGAATCTGTTTCCCCTTCAAGATCTGCCGTACCTAAAAGAAAAAACAGGACATGGGTTACTTCTTTTTTTTAACTCATGCAACACATTTAATCAAAATCATTGTAAAACTTGGTTTTTTCTATATTTGAATGACTTCTTATACAATATATTATATAGCAAAACCCCTAAAGTGTGTAAAAAGGGTTTTAAATATAAGGGCAAACATGTCTTCAACCTGAAGGATTTCTGCTGTTTCTCAGTCCTTACCTTTTCACCAACAGGTCCTTCCGCCACCAGCTGGCATGGCAGCTCATTTTCAAAATTCCTTGCCCCCGGATCGCCACCTTTCCTCATCAGCAGCTTCACAGCCTCCACCTGATTTTTGTTATTTTGTAAAGAGCTGACGATGTGCAGGGCAGTGTTTCCACTGAACGTCTGAAAGGAAAAGGAACGTTTTCACCGTGGCCACAAAGAAAAGGCCGTTCCTAGAACCTAGATTACTGTATTAGAAATCTTCCACCGTTGGTACTTACCTTGACATTAACCAAGGCCAGGGATGTCGGGTGTTGAAGGAAAAGGTTCAGCAGCTCAGTATTTGCCTCCTCTGAGGCCATGTGGATGCAGGTTCGGCCACTTTTCAGTTCCTTTAAACAGAAAAATGCAAGATTTTTTCTTTATTTCATTGAAATTGCTGCAGATTTGTTTTCCTTTTCCATATCTTCTGTTTTTGGTTGTTACGTTTCATTACTACAAAAGCTCCAACCTATTTTTACTTAAGCAAACAATATACAGGATTGTAATGATCTTATAACCAAACCTGTGCATTCTGATTGCCAGGATCAAAAAGCCTTTTAAAAAGTGCCAGTTTGACAACATGAAGAGGACTAGAGGATTAAAAAGCAACAAAGGAAAATATTATTTACATCTATCAGTCTGGAAACGTTTACAAATCAATTCATAAGGTTTGTAGGCTCTGTCCAAATAGTGGAACCTTCCCAGAAGTGTCTCGTTCCACACTGACTCCAGAAATGCATCAGTTATTTATGCAGGAGGCAACAAAACACCTGAAGCACTAAATTATTATTTTTTTTTATATATATATAATGGCTAAAACCAAACTCGATCTCTTGTAAGACTTGGTGAAAATGCTGTGAACTGCAACTACAGTTAAGTAGCATGTTGGTCTGGGGTTGCTCTGTTGGTTTGAGACCTGGATGATTTCATAGAGCAATGAAATCTCGTGGCTAGAAAATAATCAAAGGGAATATCAGTTTTTAAACATTTGTAAGATTCTCAAAAGAGGGTTAGAGTGACCTAGTGAAAGTCTCGACCGACCGAGGGTATGCATACCCCTAGTGGTACACGAGTGCATTTTAGAGGGAACATGAAAATATTTCATTTCTTAGGTAGTAAAATAAAATAGGTCTAGGATATCTTTTACTTTGTCAGGACCCAATTCAAAAATTAAATTTATCAACCAAAAAGTACGTTTTTTCTTCAAGCAGAGGAACAGACTGGATGTAGAGAGCAGCCTGGTATCATCAGAACAGCTTAGGTGTCTTAATGAAAACAAAGTAAAACTAATTAAGTCAGTATGACTATAATTTTTGTTCTGTATTTTGTTTCAGATTCATCAAGCTTAAATGAGATTATAAGGGAGCTATCGGAGAAGCTCCAGTTTTATAAATACAGATTTATAATTGATATGATTTTATTCTTTATTTATCTCGATTCCTTACCAACTTCCAGGCAACATATTTATGTTATTTTTTATTTGAGATGGAAAGAATAAAATGCCTGAAGCGTGAAATGCTCAAATTAAAAGATTTATTTTTCCATCTTGTCCCCCTTTTGGACAATCATCAATACTTTTTTGACTAAGATGGGTAATCATGGTAAGATAAAATGCCCAAAGAAATACAACAAGTATAAAAAGGTTGGGAAACACCGCCATACAGTCTAGTCACTGACTAGTGAAAATGTTGTTTCAACCAAAGAGAAAGGAAATATTTGGTATATTCACAGAGAGCACAGTTGGTTTGGATCCTCCTCCTCTAATCAATGTACTCATCATTGGAAAACAACTAATTACATTCTATTTATTTATCTTCTATATTAAATGAAGTAGAAAATCCTAAGGCTGTAATGCTCACCTTTGTCCCGTACGAGGCGCCCATGAACATCAGAATCCTGATGCACTCCACATAGCTGCGCTTCCTGTGCGCCAGTTTAGAGATCATGTATTTACAAGGGTTGTCCATTTCCCTGAGCTCCCTGACGACGGCGTTATGAGACAAAACCGCCACATGGAGAGGAGTCAAACCTTCAAAACACAGCAGACACAGTCATCAATTTAACAAGATCCCAGCCTGAACATCTCACTGGGTGATATACTCACCATCATAGTTAAACATTTCAACCTCCACGGATTGGCTGTTCCCGGTCACTGCGCTGCAGATGCTCTGTGGAAAGATGTTTTGCTTTTTTTAATTAGGACAACAGCAGTTATGGGTCTTCACATCCTAACAGACATCTTTGCTTTTCCACTCAGGCTAGATTTCCTCATCGCAGCTTCACATTTAATGCAAATCTAAGATTTGAAACTTTTTAGAAATATCTTTAAATCAGAGTAAAGATGATTCTTTAAAATAATAAATAGTTAACAGCCGGAGGAGAAGTTTTTCTTCCTCATTATTTGCATACTGTTGCCTCTAAACCATAAATACATGATTTCCTGCAAACTGGATCTTTGTCAGCAAACAGCTGCACCATGTCTGAGCATCACTATGCAGTGTGTCATCACATATCTACTCACAACAACAGATGAGCTGTTTAGGGCATCCTTTCTACACACTCTGACCCATAACGGATGCTAGAACCAGATAATCTCCAATCTTAGTTTGGACTGTATGGGCGTGGCGGATGTGCTTATCTGTAAATCCACACATACGTGATCCATGTCCAGCCTATAAACAGGTCCGTTTGATCCAATTGGAAGGTGAATTCATTTTTATTACAAACAGGATTCCCAGCCCCGTCACTGGAGATGACATTTTTAATGATGATTTAAAGAAACAAAAGAGACTTTAACCAACTTTTTTCCTGAGTCTAGTTTTATAACTTTCCAGATTACTTTGACTAATTATTTAGAAATGAATAAATGACTTTTAGCTTTAGCAGTGTAGATTAAGATTACAGAAGAAAAGTGAGATCCTCCCCATATCTGGTCTAGAACCACCAATGTTCCTAATGTTTTAGATCCACTCTACAACTAATTTGCTTCCTCCGAATGTCCAACAAACTGATATGGCAAGTTTATGACATTGCAGGTTTCCGTGTGAATAACCCTAACAGCAGTGGAAGTTCTACTGGGGTTAGGGTCACCCCATGGCTTGTTTCAGTGTGGCACAGAACAAAACAATAAAACTAAAGAAAAGTGCATCTTTACGGTATGTGAGCAACAAAGCCAAGGCTGCAAACCCTCATCTAACAGATGAGACCTGTGATCCTACCTCATTGCAGCTACAGCTGCAATTTCTAGATATTACTCAAAGTAGATTGTAAAGGATACATATCAGATTGATCAAAGCGATGACTCTTCTCATTGCAAAAGAACTGAAATATAATTAGGTTATGTATTAGTTTCTTAAAATAAGTGCATTTGTTCTTGAATTGAGGAGGTAAGAGAGAAACTTTGCCACTGGAATAAAACTATTTACATTTAAAATAAATAGAATTGTCTTATTTGAAGTGCATATTATCTAATTATCTTATATTAATAGTAGAAAATACTAATTCCTTTAGCAAATCATCTTATTTACCTACTCAAATTAAGGGTAAATACACTTAATTTAAGACATTTTTACTTATTTCATGGTTGTTTTTGAAGTGTCAGCATTTATCTCCATATAAAACTGATTTAGTATTATAGTGCAAATACGTTTTTTGAAATAAGTATATTTTCCCTTAATTACAGAAAGGTAATCAGTAATTCCTTACTGATCATCTGTATTAGATTTTAGCCGAACTCTGATGGATTTTTCTGGATTCTAAACTGAGCCTAACTGAATGGCCCCTTGTGGCCACTTCTGGAACTGATAAGCAAGACATTGAAGGCAATTTTGATTGAA